GCTCTGGGGTTTCTTTGGAAAGGTCTGACACTGAGAGGGAGAGAGAGGTCTGCCAGGAAGGAGTGCACATTTGGTTTCCATTTGCAGGTTGAGTGTTAAGAAGAGCCCCTCAATCTCTTCAACAGGCTCGGATGGAAAAGGAAAGAAAGATCTCCTTGACTAGCACAGTCTCTGTGAGAGAAAGGATTGAGCCATCCAGGTGTTGGTTTTCACTTAGTTTTTTGCTTAGTACTTTTTCAGTCAGATCCTTGCTAAATGCTGTAAGAAACACCATTTTAGTGTAAGCTACAAAAATCTGATTTTATTTTCACTTGGTTTTGCTAGAAATCTTCCATACCAACACACGTGTGTGGGTATTGTATTTCCTTTCAGTATATCTGGTAGCACTTGGAGATCTATAATGTGTGCTGGGCTTCACTGTTTATTGCTAAGCCACAAATCCACCTCTTCCATTCCAAAGTGCAGTTTGCTCCCTCCGTGGGTACTAGTCCTGAGAGAAAATCAGGGTGCTGTTTTCAGTTTTCCCTTCTCCACACACACACACACACACACACACACAGAAATACATCTAAATTCCAGTAATGTATTTTTTTTGCTTTGATTTCAAAGATTACCACAGACCTCACTTTGATAATGTGCAATGTTACCAGAAAACAACGGAGAAAAAAATTCAATCCAGCAGTATGCAAATACTACTCAAGAGAATAATCAGCCAAAAATGAAAGCTTCTCCCTATGACTCTATCATTCTTCATCTCTCTCTGAACCTATAGTGAGTGTCTTTTGCTGTGTGTACAGAATTCAACAGAACCCTTGTGCTGGTTCCTTATTGTTTTGTGAAAGACATCACTTTCCGTGCAAGAAGCATAACCTCTTCTGCAGATCATCTTAATTACTGGAACAGTGTTTGTCTTCTCCATGAAAATAACAATTTAATTTTTCTTCTGTATGAATCTGATTTTTATAATTCCCTTGTGATGACTTAACATTGTAACAACTAAAATATGTAAAGTGGTATTAACGTTTCCTAAGGTTAAATTAACAGATTAATATTTTACCTTTCCCTAGTCAGAGAAAGCTCAACTAAATACACCCCCACCAGTTGTTCACTTCCCTGTCTGTCTCAGTTAAAGGGGAAAAAAACCCTATGCCTTCTTCTGTATGGTCTCCTATGTAACTGCACAGTTAAGAGTCTCCCTCATTCTTCATCTCTTGATTCTGCTTTTAAGTGCCTCTTCTCAATTCCCTTTTAAATCCTACTTCCCTGCTACTTCCATGAGTAATGTATTTTAAGGTGCAGAGCTAATTCAGCCTATCTACACTTTCCCCATCACCTTTACCTCTATGAGCAAAGGACAGAATGTGGTTAAAGAGTGTATGTTGTTATTTTTACCAGAAAGAGTGTAAAAGTGGAGTACCGACTGTGTTACAAAAGGCATTAAACACACAGGTTTTCTGTGATTGTCAGGACAGGTCCAGTAACACTTCATGACAAATTTGGATGCAGAAATCTTAGACTTTGGTACCTTTAGTGAGCAAGAGAGATTTAAAGGTGGAAACCACAAGAGTGTAATTGATGCTAATGCATGCCTCAGCTGAGTATTGCTAGAATCATATGGATGACATGTTAGTTACTTATATCCCGCATTATTAACCAAATCACATTGATCTGATTATTAATCAGTGGAGATGTCATGCCAGCACAGAGCAAGAAATGCTATTTGCAAGAAGATGTGATGGAGCTGCAGTTTTCCTGTGTACTTTTGACTGTGACCAAGCAGTCTAACACTTTGCTTGCTGTAGATTTTTTCTGGCAACTGTAATAGATACAGAAAAAAGCATAACCCCCAAATCATCTACCCCTTTGCAAAGCTGTTGAATCACTCTGATCCTTTGTGAGGCAGCCCTGGGGAGCCAGCACCGGGTCCAAGCTGTGCACCCAAGCTTTGGATGTGATGCATGGAGGCTATTAGACACCTCCAAACAGGCTTTACAAAAGCTGACACTATGGTAGCTAAGAGGAAAGGCTGGGGAGAAGGCATTAAGCCTAACCCCCATGGAATTTACGCTTTGCTCGAGGCCAGACTCTCAGCAAAGCATCTCTGAGGAGCTGGCACCACATCAGAGCAGAAATCTGTGCTACAAAAAAGAGAGGAGGAAATCCTTCTCATTTTCCCCCACTCTTCTAACACCATACAGTGATTAGGGCATTTAAGCTGGGTGTCAGAGTCTCACTTTTTACAAATGACATTAGGATTTTGTGGCTCCGTACCCTGTGGCAATGTCTTAGTGCCACGGGAAATACCCTGATCTGACAGCCTAAGGCATGCAGGCCTCCAGGACCAGCCCTGACTGAAAGTGGAGAGGAACAGGTGTGGATTTTATGTATGTATTTTTGTCACCAGGGCATAAATTCCCTGTGCTGGAGACATAAGTATGTTATAAACATACATGTAGGAGTGCTCCATTGTGGTTTCTGCCTCAGCTGGGAGAGTCATTGCCCGGGTTTGTAAGATTGAGTAGATTAAGTTCAAGATGCCACCAAAGGAAAAGGGCAGAAAAAAACATCTCAGGACCATAGCTAGGAACTGGACTGTGAAAATAGATAAATAAAGAGTCAAGTTTCGATGCTCATTGTGGTGGGGATCTTGTCTGAGGATCTTGGCAGGAATACACGAACAACTGTTACTCAAAAAAACAACACCACTTTCAATTGTGCAGGTTTGGGGAGCAAAGATCTGATTAATTGTGTACTCTTAATGCAGGAAAACCAAACAGTAGAGGGGAGAGTTAAGTGTGAGACCCTGGTAACCTGAGACCCTGGTTAAGGAGATCACAGTGTGGGGCACTGACAACTTGTTGTGGAGATCTTGCTTGAGAGGAGGCATCTGGTAGAAGGCAGAGCAGAAGGCCAGGCTGCTACAGCTGCCAGCAGTCACCCAAGTACAATGAATGATCAGGGTTTAAAATGCATTCCTTGGCATCCCAGGCATTTGGAAAGGACTGTATTTAAGGATCTACTCTTAGCCCATCATCAATTAAAACTAAGATGTGTCTTAATAATGTGCTAAAATATTGTCTTTCTCTGGTTATGTCATGATTTTATTGTGCTGCTTGAGACAGGGGGGCAAGCTGTAAAATGTGTGGATGGGACACAAAACCCAGTGAAGTTGTTTGGGGATGAGGATGCCTCTTACCACAGCTCTGTGGAGAACTGCAGTCACTGTGTGCACCAGGGGAGTTGAAGCTACTTAAACCAGGGCTAAGATTGAGGTGAGGAAGCCTAGTACCCATAAAACCTGGTGCCCGTCTTTTCATTAACAGCACACTGGAGGCAGGACAGACTCACTAAGGATGGAAATCAGTTATCCCTGCTGCCTGGGGAGAGCCTCACTGCACGTGACCTGACTTACTCCAAACCCTCCAGGTTTGGAGGATGTGTCTTTCTGTTAAAATATCACGTGGTGCTTCAGTAATATTTTCTATCCTGTCAATCTACAGCCTAAGAAACAGCCATGTATCTATGTAGAGGACTAAAAGCTGGAGTCACCTCACTTGTTTTCCTCCAGGCAGCAGAGACCCTTATCTGAAACAGGCTATGAACCTATTCTTGCTGCAGGGAGCCTCACAAGAGTCCACTCAGGTTCAGTGAAAAAGGCAGGTCATTTTTCCTGAGGCAGCAGGAAGAGTGGGAGGATGGCAGCAGAGCCACCTGGCTACAGGGCGGGATGAGGAGCTGGGAGCACTGGGAAACCCTTGTTTTGACATGGACAGTGCTGGGAAGACTTCTGGGATGGCTCAGTTTTGCATCCTGGCTCCTCTGTTCCTGTGGCATCCCTGGCAGGGCTGCACACCATGCCAGTGCATGCGGCTGTAAGGTCCTGGATCCTGGTGATCACTTCAGAGATTTCCACAACTTTCCTGCACCTCAGTTCAGTGTTACCAGCCCAATGCCAGCTTGCTCACCTTAGTGTTCTCTAAATTTGGGATGTTGTTTTTTTAAGCTGGGAATTTAGGATGTTATCTGCATTCTGTACCTGTGGGCTGCTTCTCAACATTGCTCTCTTTCCTTTGTTTCTCCTTCTCAGTGTTTAACAGCTTGCCTTTTCAAAACTTCCATGGTGCTGGACTGATTTTTGGTTTGTCATCTTGGGGACCACTCAGTGAAGCTCTCAGCCACCAAAGGTCAGGCACGCCACAGAAATGCCTATTAATAGGTCTTAGGTGCTGGTTGTGTCTAAACCGGCATTTCTTGGAAAGAGAAAGATTTCTTGGAGACCGGTGGCTCTCTGAACTACTGTAAAGGCGCAGGGCCAGGCTGCCACCCATAGGGTGTCCCTATGCAACCACACCTCCTGCAAATGGGGCCACAGGGTGCAGGGGGACAGTTTAGGGAAGAAGATAGCCGTTTGGCCGCTGCTGCGTGCAGAACGAGGGCGCACTCGCTGTTGACACGCTGCGCGCTCCGCCAGTGCCCTGCGAGTCGTCTCCTGCAGCCGGTGCCGCCGGCTCCCTGGGGAGCTGGGCAGTGCCAGCATCTTTGTAGGCTCTCCCCTTCCAAGGGGTGTCCGGGGGCCTTTATTCCGGCAAACACAGATGTTTAAAATAGGATTTCAGCCGGCCTAAGTGACGCCGGCTCTATGTATAGTCCGCTCCTGGAGCCGTGCAAGTGAAGACTATCTCGGAAAACCCGTAGGACCTGGGCCCGTCCCGGGATGTGCAGGGCCAGCTCCCCCGCGGTGGCCGGACCGGCTGCCCTGTGCCGCGGGGGCTGCGGGGGGAGCCGAGCCCGGCCCGACCCCTCCGCCCCCCGGCGGCGATGCCCGCCCGGGCCGGGAGCCGGCGCGCCTGGCGGAGGAGGGGACGAGAGAGGAGGGGAGGGCAAGGAGGGGAGGGAGGGCAAGGAGGGGAGGGAGGGCAGGGCGTGGGCGGCCGCTGCCCCCCCGCCCCCGCCGGCACGTGCCTGCCCGCCCCCGCGGGCCACTGCCGCGCCCCGACGGCCCCGGCATGGACGCGCCCGGCCAGCGGCCCGCCAGCCCCCGAGCCGGCCCGGAGGGCGCGGCGGCGGAGCGGGACCCGAGCACAAACGCGAGCCCGAACCCCGGCCCGGAGGCGCCCATCGAGGAGGAGAGGGAGGCGGCGTACGTGGAGATCCGCGGCTCGCCGCAGGGGCCGGAGGAGAGCCGCCAGAAGCCCGAGCTGGCCCCGGCCGGCGGCGCTGAGGGAGCGTCCGGTCCCGCACCGGACAGCGGAGCCGGTGGGACCGGGGATGGCGACTCGGCGAGCGGTGGACCCCCGGGGGAAAAAGCGGAGCCAGCATCCTTGGACCACGGGCGGGATCGCCCTCCTTCCCCGGCGGCGGCGGAATGCGGCGCTGACACCGGCCCCGGCTCCGTGGGAGCGGCGCGGAGCGGCGGGACGCCGGAGGCGGGGGGCTGCCCGGAGTCCTCCTCCTCCTCCTGCCCTTCTCCCGTGACCAAGGCGGACGACTTTCCCGCAATGGGCGACCCGGTGTCGACGGAGGGCAAAACCTCCTCGTCGTCCTTCGGCTACGAGAGCGAAGTGGAGGATGAGGTCGCGGGGCGCAAGGCGACTCCCCCCGGCGCCCCCCCGGGCACCCCTCCCGGCGGCGGCCGCGACGAGGCGCACTATATCAGCACGCAGGAGATCCAACTCAGCGAGGTGGACCACGACATGGACTTCGACGCGGGGCTGGCCGCCCGCTGGGACTTCGAGGATAACAACGTGATCTACTCCTTCGTTGACTACGCCTCCTTCGGGAGCGACGAGACCCCGGGAGACACGCTGACGGAGGAGGAGGAGAATAGCTGCTACCTTAGCACGACCACCAGCGACCCCAACAACCAGACGGACAGCATCGACAACACCAGCAGCACCGAGATCGTCAGCCTTACCTCCGAACACGACACCCCCGGCGGGGACAAGCGCGCCAGCTCGGGGGAAAGCCGGTCCAAGCAGCCCGGCCGCCCCGGCGGGAGCCCGGGCGCCCAGCTTCTCCTATCAATCAAAGCCGCTTCCCGGGCTATAAATGAGTCTAGCAACGTGCACGGAAAGCAAAACACTGTTTACGCTGCCAAGCATGAAGGCGACATGAGTCTCCGTGTCGCCGCGGCTCCCGACCGCAGTGCGAGTTTAAAACAGGATGCGGTCCGCGACCACGCGAAAAAGTTCATCGCGGTGCCGGCGCGGCTGCAGACGCGGTGCGGGGCCGCCAGGGCCGGGGAGCACTCGAGCGGCGCCTCCAGCGCCGTCAGCGAGCTGGACGATGCCGACAAAGAGGTGCGAAACCTTACGGCCAGGGCTTTCCGCAGCCTGGCGTACCCCTATTTCGACACCCTGCGCCCCGGCTCCCGCGCCTCCTCCGCCTCCCTGTCCGACAATGCCCTGGGCATCAACCGCTGGTCCACCTACCTGGACCTCAAGTGCGGCAGCCTGGGGCCGAGAGCCGAGCCCAGCCTGCTGCGCTCCGGCCGCTCGCAGACCAAAGCCCTCGAGTTCGTGGTCAGCAAGCTCGACGGGGAGATCGCCCACGTGGAAACGCCGCGGCGGCTGCGGGCGGGCTCCCGGGTGGTGACCCTGCTGGACCTCGGCGATGCCGCCGAGGCCGGGGAGCCGCCGACGGCGGAGGGCGGCGGGAAGGGGTCCAGCAAGAAGTCCAGGTTCGCCTCCAGCCTCCTCAAAAACGTCATCTCCAAGAAGATGCAGCTGGAGCACGAGTTCAAGATGGAGCGGGGCGAGATCACCGACACCTCCTACACCGGGCCGGGCGCGGGCCGGGAGCCTGAACCCACCGGCGGCAGCGCCGGCCGGGAGCGGCATCGGGAGGCTGGCGTGCAGCGGCAGAACTCCCGGCACTCGGAGGGCGGCTCGGACTGCACCGCGGCGCCGGCGGAGGATGCGGGCGAGGGCGGCGGGGGCCGCTCCCCGGCCTCCAAGGCGTCGACGCCCCGCGAGGGGAACCGCAGCCTGGACCGGGCGCTGTCGGAGGAGCTGTGCGAGGTAAAGCGCAGCGCCTCGGAGGCCATCAAGGCCACCTTCCTCCGCAGCCAGAACAGCGCCTTCAGGTCCTGGAAGGAGCGGGAGGCGGAAAGGAAGGAGGAGAGGGCGCCGGTCGGTAAGCTGAAACTTTCTCCCAAGAACGACTGGCGAGCCGACCTGGGCGAGATCTCTGCCGGCAAGTCCACCAAGATGTCCCGCCTGTTCGTCCCCGCCATTCAGCACACCCCTCGGGAGAAGGATCCCGGCAAAAGGGCGACCAAGTGCTCCGCCGCGGCCGCCGCCGTGTCCTCGGCCGCCGCCGCCGCCTCCTCGCCCCCCGCCGCCAAGCCCAAAGCCCCCGAGATCAAGATCAGCCTGGGCAGCCTGCAGCAGCCCCGGGACGCCGCTTTCAGCATCGCCCAGCTGCTGACGCCGCAGATCGCAGGCCGACCGCCGGAGGAGGGCAGGGGGCAGCCGCTCAAGCCTCTCAAGGCCGGCGACGGCCCCGACAAAGTGCCACAGTTCCTGGTGCGCGACGTGAGGGACAGCAAGTACAGAGCCCAGGGGATCCTCCACCAGGTGCGGGACGTGCGTAAGCTCATCAAAAGCTCCTACAGCGCTGACTCGGGAGATAACAGCAGCGACAAGGGCAGCGGCGCCTCCGAGCAAGGCGGCCCGGAGCAGAAGCCCCGGCAGCAGCTGGTCATCGCCGGTGTCCCCCGGTCGCTCTCCCCCGTGGTCATCACCTGCCAGGCGGTCGGCCACACCGGCACCAAGCCCACCGAGGCGGGGGCCAAGGCGGCGGGCAGGGCGCCCGCCTGCCCCCCGGAGGGCACCGTGCTGGTGCACCGCACCTCGGGCAGGCTGCCAGTAGCCACCATCGCCCCCAACAAGAGCGATGCTCGCCAGCCGGCTGTGCTCAAGATCGTTTCCAAATCCTCCGCGCCCTGGCGGCACCAGCCGCCGCCGCCGCCGCCCCCCGAGAGGGGCCGGGGACCGGAGGAGGACCCGAGGGAGGAGAGCAAGGCAGCGCCGGTGCAGAACGCGCTGGAGAAACTGACGGCGGCAGTGCGGAGCATGGAGGAGCTCTACAGCTTCAACAAGCGCGAGTGGAAGCGCAAGAGCGACCCTCTGCCCATCACCGACAGCCACGTCCTCTCCCTTATCGCCAGCCAGGAGCGGGGCGCCGGCTCCCGACCCGCCGCCGCCGCCGCTGCCGCTCCGCCCCCGCCGCCGGACAAGGCGGAGGAGCCGTCGGGCAAGGGCCCGAGCAGCGAGCGGCTGCCCCGCCGCCCCTCCAACAGCGCCGCCGACAAGGTCTCGGCCAAGGCGGCCGCCTTCGAGAGCCTGGCCCGGCAGCGGCAGCGCGGCCCGCCGCCGCCCCGCGCCGAGCCCCCCGCCGCGCCCGGGCGGCGGCGGCGGCGATGCGGAACGCGGCCCCGACTGCGGGAACTATCTGTCCCTGCCGCTGAAGGCGGCCACCGAGCCCGACTCCCCGCCGTCCGCGGGGGCGGCGGAGGGCGGCGGCGTCCGCCCCAGCCCGGTGTCGGCATCGGCGGCGGCGGCGGCGCTGTGCAGCCTGCAGCCCTTCGGCACGGCCAAGCCCGCCGGCAGCCCCAGACAGCCGCCCG